ACTCCAAAGAAAATTCAAAACCGAAAGTCATTTATCAAATGGCGAAATCAAAGGCACGAATGGAAAATAAGTGTCAAATTCCTGACTAGGTACAGGCATTACCTTATGTAGAAAATGGTAGATTAAACCTAGTTTTATAGCTAGCTAAACCTCTCACTTGTATGACAGTCGCATAGAATTCCATTATATTGACAACAATGTGTGAGCAGAACAAACAGATATAAAAGGTACAAAGGTAAAAATTTGGGTACAGCAGTCAACATTGTGTAAAACTCTTAATCACTATAAAAACAAATAACTAGTTATTTCAAAACAGAAAACAAAATGGCATATAGATACTCTATATACAAAGTACATAAGCAAAAATGAAAGACAAAAATACAAAAATGACCATAGCACTATAACACAATGGCGTGATTTATAAATACCGAGCCACTTTAAAAGCTTATTACCAAAAATGGACTAAACAGTAAATGTTAAATATATGCAAAGTCAAATAAAAAACACTATAACACGTACATGACGTAATTAAGATGATAAACAACGGTAGTACCTAGAATCTATACTCCAAGTCCATCATGCATTATTTGTAAGGTTGATACGGAATATTTATCAACAAGTCTTATTATCCTTTTCTACAGAAGTGATCCTATTTCCACTGATATCTCTACAAATGAATTTGCGAACTGAGTAATAAGTATTTTCTTATGGTTGTGACCTGATATCTATTACTTGCATGAGGCGATATTTCTCGTATCACACTGCACGTGTGATACAAAAAAGTGATACGAAAACTGATTAATTTGATTGGCTTATCCAGCATCATGAGACGATATTACGACACTTCCATTGGCTTTTCGTTGAGTCATTGATAACTTTCAAAGATTAAGACAATGCACATTTCGTCCATGGCAACGGACATATGTTATTTATTCAATAATGTGCAAAACACCCTCACTTTTCACCCGTAAATCATCTTGTCTAATTTTATTACAATCTGAAGCTAACAACAAGTTTTTAAATGTCTGATGTTAAAGTTTGACGCCAGAACAAGATTTATTACGTCATACTGGTATGTGCAAAAGACTGGACAAACGATTCGCGGTATTTTCAGTTTAACACAATAAGAGGTGTTGACCATAAGTGAAATAGGTTAAACAACTCGTGAGAATTGGATATTGCTTGCTGTCAATTCTCTTTATTTAGTCTAAATAGAAATGATAAACTCGCCGATGACTCGTTTATTGTTATATTGAAATTAGATAACTCAAGCTGATATCAAGCGATATCTTATTCTCAATCATTATCAAACCTATAAATATACCTATGTGCAACATTTTATTATTTTTAATTTTTGTTATGAGCGAATGCGATTATTACCGGGTTTTCTTATTTTAAAGGAAGAATGCAGCGGAAGAATTTAGAGAAACAGGATGTTTGATAAGAATATAGATATAAGTTGTCACAAATGAAATGGCCGAAGAAATATCATAGATAAAATAGATAGTCGGTACTTACAATATTTCTAAGGATGATAATCCATCCAGAGATCCATTTTCTACAGAAGTGATCCTGTTTCTATTGAGATATCTACAAGAGAATTTGAGAACCGAGTTATAAGTAATCTACCTAGGTGCACCATTATATCTAAATATGAACTGTATATTAAAAAAAAAAGTTAGTCACGATGATTAACAATTTTGATAAAACAAATTTTGTGAACTTTTCATTTGTATTTATCAGCATTCTAGCAGGACCTATATATGGATTGTATATCGCCTGGTAGAAACGATATTTAACAGCTTGCGATAAACACATGATAATTTCCTTGATAGAGAGTAAATGCATACGAGGAAGCTACTTAACAATGGCTTTCATTGAAAGTTAACGTTATTTTTTCTAAAGTTTTATGATCGTTATTATGATATGTCGACTTTTTGAGATATCTGTTACATAGGTTACAACGGATCAATCCATATGGCTTGACCACATTTCACCCTTTTTGTCTCATTTATGAAATGAGCGAATGCAATTATTACCCGATTTTCCCTTTTTAAAGGAAGAACGCAGCGGGTGAATCTAGTGAACAGGGACTATACTTATTCAGCATAATATTTTTACACTGAAAGTATGCACTCATAGGTGAGACACAGGGTTTCCAAGAATCATTGGCCAAAAAAATATTATAGATAAAATAGATAGTTGGTACTTACAACTTTTTCAAGGATGATAATCCATACAGAGATCCATTTTCTACAGAAGTGATCTGGTTTGCCGTGAGATAACTACAAAAGAGTTTGCGAACTGAGTAATAAGTAATTTACCTAGGTGCAACATTATATCTAATATGAACTGTATATTGAATAGAAATGAAATATCTTGAACTAAAAGCAATTTAAAATGTCTTAATAAGAAACAATGATAATTTTTGTTGTTGTTGCTTAACGTTTACTTGGAAATGTTGCATGTTTAAGAAGCACATGTATTAAAAACAATAGGTCAGTTAGTTAGGTACAGTGGGAATCAGTTCTAACGCTAGCGAAATCGAAATTATTTAATCTATCTCACATAACCATTCTGACCAATGAAGCTCTTTTGATCTTAGTCGATACAAATATGGGAGTATATTTTCTGTTTCATTCTACATGTTATATTTACACAATAAAATCCAGAAAACATTCTTTTGTGAAAAAAAAATCACCCGCTTATAAAACGTCTATCAATGCCAAGAACAGTTTGTCAACAAATAAACTACAGACCCACGAAATTATTAAATGTTTTCTTCTACTGCTATATATTGAAACAATCTAAAAATAAGGAGATGTGGTATGATTGCCAATGAGACAACTATCCACCAAGTTTAAATAAAGTGGATGTAAGCAAGCATAGGCAACCGTGCGGCCTTTGACAATGAGAAAAACCCATACCGTATAGTCGGCTATAAAAGGCCCCGACATAAAAAATAAGTATGAAACAACTCAATTGAGAAAACTAATAGCCTAAATCATAAAAAAAACAATTTACGAAAAACAAATATGACAGACATCAACAAACGACAACCACTGAACTTCAGGCTCCTGACTTTGTACAGGCACATAAAGAATGTGGCGGGGTTAAACATGTTTGTGAGCGCTCAACCATCCCCCTAGCCCAAGACAGTTGTGTAACAGCACAACATAAGAAATATTGATCAAAATCAATTGAAAAAGCTTAACTCATCAGATCGATACAAAGAAAAACATCAAACAAATACATAGACCGGACGTTGCAGTATCTAGCTGTACAGTACAGAAATTCACACTTCAAGTTTGATATTTGCTGTTTATTATACTTCATGTTAGAATGGCAGAATTTTATTGATTAATACGAGGGAGACAACTTACTCTATTTCATAGCTCAGCTTCGCCTTGGTTGACAAGTTATGTGTTACACAGATTTCATTTATATTTAGCTATAGTGGAGAGAGAGAGAGAGAGAGAGAGAGAGAGAGAGAGAGAGAGAGAGAGAGAGAGAAAGAGAGAGAGAGAGAGAGAGAGAGAGAGAGAGAGAGAGAGAGAGAGAATATTCCTAGTACGTTGTAAATTTTACCAACTGACATACTTAGAGAATACTTCAGGAAGTGTCGTATGATGTTGTGAATTAAAGTTTCAAACCCGATTGGATATAGCTGCTGATATGTTCAAAATATGTTGGCAAGAAGATAATTGCATTAAGGTGTGGTTTCTTTTCTCATGGCTCAGCCTTGTTATCAATTTAGTGATAAAAGTGCTATAATCTTTAGAAGTAATATTATTGGTTGCTAAGTCTCCGTAATATAATGTATAATAAAATAAGCAATCTACGACTAACTCTTTGACTTGCGTCTTTTATACAAAGCGAATACAATTATTGAAATCGTAAGGGAAGGATAATGTAATAAATTTATGAAGTGAAAGGTTTTATACTAAAAATGTGCGCACGACCAACGGTTTCATAACCTGATAAAAAGCTTAAATTCTTAGAATTTTTTTTATAAAAATAGTCTAAATACAATCTGTTTTTTTCATTTGATAGAAAATATTTAATATTACAATTTTTTTTATTTAATTGCCTAATATTATGCCATTGTCAGAACATTTTACATATGGAGCACCTGAGATCACCCACAGTTTTTGGTGGGGTTCGTGTTGCTTAGTCTTTAGTTTTCTATGTTGTGTCATCTGTACCATTATTTGTCTGTTTGTCTTTTTATTTTTGGCCATGACGTTGTCAGTTTGTTTTCGATCTATGAGTTTGACTGTCCCTCTGGTATCTTTCGTCCCTCTTTTACATAACTACGAGAACATTGAAAATGTCTACAAAATTAGTTTTATAGATCACAACGGATAGATTTATTTGCCTAGAACAGATTTCGTCCACTTTTTTCATTTATGATATGAGCGAATGCGATTATTACCAGATTTTCTTATTTTAAAGAAAGAATGCAGCGGATGCTTCTAATGAAACTGTAACTCCTTACCCTACCTTAGCTTCTGTAGAACTAATACTGCCGAAAGAAAATCACCGTCCACATATAGGTTTTCGTTTTATACTGATAACTGGATTTAGTTTTTTGACATTTGATATAACATTTTAAACTGATAGTATAATTCACATGCGAGACACAGGGTTCAGGAGAATCATTCATGATCTTTTATATCTTTTTTGTCTTTTAGTCATATATCTTTCGATTAACTAACAATATTTGATTGGCATATAATATCTTTTAATTGTTCTAACTGGAAAACGAAGAGTACTAACAAGACTATACAAATCTTACCCCGTCATAAGGTGTAAGAATAATAATCTCGATAAAAAATGGTGATTGTTTTGTTGCTGCCTAATGTAGAGGTTAAAATATTGAGTGCTTGATAAGAATATAAATAAAAGTTGTATGAAATGAAATGTCAGAAATGATCTCACATATAAAATAAATATTCGGGACTTACATCGTGTCTAAGGATGACAGTCCATCAAGAACTCCTTTTTCTATAGAAGTGATCATGTTATAACCGAGATATCTACAAATGAATTTGTGATCTGAGTAATAAGTAATATTTATAGATGCAAAATTTTATCTTATATGAACTGCATATCTAATAGAAAGCTAAACACTTCGTTCTATTATTTCGATAATAATAACAATGAACTCTGCATATGTAGATATAAGATTAATCTAATTGTATGTTTCTACAGTTATAATTACATTTATCTTGTATTTATCAGCACTATACGAGGACCAACTATATATGGATTGTATATCTCCTGTTTGATACGATATTCCATAGCTTGCAATTAAATTGATAAAAATTTCTTTGATAGGGAGTAACTGCATACGTGGAAGCTACATAACAATGGCTTTCATGGAAAGTTAACGTTATCTTTTCAAAAGTTTGTTGAACGTTACTATATGGTCGACTTTTTGAGACATTTGTTACATAGATCTCAACGAATCGATCCATATGACCACATTTCGTCCTCTTTGTTACATTTATGAAATAGCGAATGCGAATTTTACTCGATTTTTCAGGAAAATCGCATCGGATGAATCTAGTGAAACAGGAACTAAACTTATCAATGGATTTATTCTTTTTACATTCAGCATACTACTTTAACATTGAAAGTATGCACTCACAGGCGAGGGAACAGGGTTCGTAAGAATCATTCACGATCTTAATATCTTTTTATCGTTTTTGTACTATTTATCGTTCTAGTATTTTAGCCGTATTTCTGTCTGTCAACTGAACAGTCTTTAATAGGCCCATTAGTATCCTTTAATTGTTCTTTCCGTAATACGGAAGAGTACCAACTCGATTAAAACATCTTGTCACGTCAAAAGGTATAAGTTAAAACAAATGGTGATTTGTTGTTGCTTAATGCAAAGGGGAAAATATTGCATGCTTGATAAAAATATAAATATAGGTTGTAAGAAATGAATGGCAGAAAAAATATTACAGATAAAATAGACAGTCGGTACTTACAACTTTTGTAAGGATGATAATCCATCCAGAGATCCTCTTTCTACAGAGGTGATCCTGTTTGACTGGCTATGTCTACAAAAAGAATTTGCGAACTGAGTAATAAGTAATTTACCAATTTGCAAATTTTATCTTATATGAACTGCATATTTAATAGAAAGCTAAACACTTAGTTATATAATTTCGATAATAATAACAATAAACTCTCCAGGTTCGTTTGTAATAATATGGAAATCTAATAACTCGAGAGTTCACATCAAGCAATATCAAATTTCCTCTCGTTAAGAAACTTATAAATCTATTTTCAAAGTCTGTATATTTGTCAGTCCGACAAAAGTGCTACCCTCTATAGAACTAATACTATTGGTCGATCAGTCTTTGTAATATGATATATAATATAATAAGCAATTCATGTATAATGTGTTTAAATTGTTTCTTTTATACAAACATAAGACAATTAATGAAATTATAATGGCAGCAGAATGTACTTTACATATAACCTGGAAGCGATTCATACTAAAACTTAGCGCACGACCAACTCTTTTATAACCCAACAATTATAAGAAAAGCCTGTCTGTAATGAAATGTTTGATATCAAAATAAGCTAAAACAAATCTGTTTTCTAAAGATAAGTTAAAATTGAAAAGATAAAAATTAACATTCTTTTATTTCTTAATTGCTTCAGAACTTCTATCGTAACAAGTATCAGATTTTATATATTTTACATATTTCAATGTTTCCACAGTGAAAATTACATTAATTTTGTATTTATCAGCACTATACAAGGACAACCTATATATGGATTGTATATCTCCTGTTTGATAAGATATTCCATAGCTTGTAATGAAATTGATTAGGATTTCCTTGATATGGAGTAACAGAATACGAGGAAGCTGCATAACAATGTCTTTCACGGAAAGTTAACGTTATCTGTTCAAAATTTTGTTGATCGTTTCTATTATATGGTTTACTTTTGGAGATATCTGATGCACAGATTTTAACGAATCGATCCATATGGCTTGATCACATTTCCTCCTCTTTGTCTCATTCATGAAATAGCAAATGCGAATTTTACCCGATTTTTCATTTTGAAGGAAGAACGCAGCGAGTAAATCTAGTGAAACAGGAACTGTATTTATCAATGGATTAATAAAATTGAGAATGGAATTAAGAATTAAGTCTTTTTACTTTCAGCATAATACTTTTAAATTGAAAGTATGCACTCACAAGCGAGGGAAAAAGGTTCCCAAGAATTATTCATGATATTTGTATCTTTTTATCGTTTTTGTATTTTAGCCATATTTCTGTCTGCCAACTGAACAGTCTTCAATTCGCCCATTATAACCCTTTAATTGTTTTTAACGTAATACAAAAGAGTACCAACACGATTAGAAAATTTTGTCACGTCAAAAGGTATTATAAGAATAATTTCGATAAAACATATGGTGATTTGCTGTTGCTTAAGGTAAAGGGGAAATATTGCATGCTTGATAAGAATATAAATATACATTGTAAGAAATGAAATGGCGGAAACATATTATAGATAAAATAGATAGTCGGTACTTACAACTGTTTTAAGGATGATAATCCATACAGAGATCCATTTTCTACAGAGGAAATCCTGTTTCTCTGGATAAATCTTCAAAAAGAATTTGCGAACTGAGTAATATGTAATTTACCAAGATGCAACATTATATCTAAAATGAACTGTATATTGAATAGAAATACAATGTCTTAATTAAACAAAATGATAATATGTTGTTGTTGCTTGACGTATACTTTGAAATGTTTCATATTTCAGAAGCACATGAATAGAAAACAATAGGCCGTGGGAATCAGTTCTAAAGTTAGCAAATTCAAAATCATTTCACCAGGACAAAGATTCTTCAATTCATTTTTTTAATTTCAATAAGAAATAACAAAAATAAACTCTGCAGGCTTTTTTCATTTAATATGGAAATATATTAAATCCTATTCATATCACGCGATATATAATTTACTCTCGTTATGAAATCTGTAGATATACTTACAAAATCTGTAAATTTGTCAGTTCGATAAAAGGACTATCTGCTATAGAACTAATATTATTGTCTGCCAAGTCTCTGTAATATGATATATAGTAAAATTAGCAATCTACGATTAACGTGTTGGACTTGTTTCTTATAGACCGTACATAACTTATAAGAGGGATAGGCCGGTGATTACTTAATTTTATATCTTCAAAAATGTTGATGCCCGTCTTTTTGAATAGTAAAACAAAAATGTCATCAAGAGATTTCTGTGAAAAAAGTAATCCCCCTGCTGAAATTAAAACAGATAAATAAAGTCTTTTAAAAATATATATCAAACCTAGGAATCACCGAATAGAATGAAGGTGTAGTACTTTACTACCAATTCAAATATGCAATTTGGTAATCCAAATTTTATCAACTATTTAAAAAAGTAATTTCCGTTTACTTTTCTTAGTGCAGAACGCTAATTAAAGGCAACAGTAGTATACCGCTGTTCGAAACTCATAAATCGATAGAGATAAAAACAAATCCGGGTTACAAATTTAAACTGAAGGAAACGCATCAAATATAAGAGGAGAACAACGACACAACAAAAACACAACATTAAAATGTAACACACACAGAAACGAACTAAAATATAACAATGGCCATTTTCCTGACTTGGTACAGGACATTTTAAGAAAAAAATGGTGGGTTGAACCTGGTTTTGTGGCATGCCAAACCTCCCGCTTTTATGGAAACGTCAAACACAACACCAAAACGACAACATCACATGACAGGATCACAATACAAATAAATGGGAGAACATATAGGACAAAGAAACACAATATCATACCGTTTCATCATATTTATAGAATGCACTAGACAACTGTCAGAAAGTGGACATTATTCATTAATCTACAACAATGAGACTTCAATGCATTTTAATTCAATAACTAGAGTCGTTATCACGCGTCTTTATGGGAAGTAAATGTTTTATTTTCAAAAGTTGTATGGAAGCAATCATAATATTGTTGACTTATTTGAGATATCATTTTCATTGATCACTACGGATAGATTTATTTGTCTAGAACATATTTCGTCCACTTTCTCATTTATGATATGAGCGAATGCGATTTTTACCAGGCATCAAATGCGTCAATGAAACTGGAACTCTTTACCTTTCCTTAGCGCTGTAGAACTAATACTGCCGAAAAAAATCTCCATCCTCCTATTGTTTTTTCGTATTTTACTTATAAATAAATTTAGTTTTCTGACATCCGATATAACACTTTTACACTGAAAGTAGCAATCACATGCGAGACACAGGATTCAAGAGAATCATTCCCGATCTTTTTGATCTTTATTGTCTTCAAATCATTTTTCTGTCTGTCAACTCACAATATTTGATTCGCCAATAATATCTTTTAATTGTTCTTACTGGAAAAGCGAAGAGTTTACAGGACTATACAAATCTTGTCCCGTCATAAAGTATAAGAATAATAATCTCGATAAAAAAATGGCTGCCTAATGTAAAGGGGAAAATAGTGCATGCTTGATAAGAATATAAATAAAGGTTGTAAGAAATGAAATGTCCGAAATGATCTCACAGATAAAATAAATATTCGGGACTTACAAGAGGATTAAGGAAGACAGTCCATCCAGAATTCTATTTTCTACAGAAGTGATCATGTTGTCCCTGAAATATCTACAAATGAATTTGAGAACTGAGTAATAAGTAATATGCATAGGTGCAACATAATATCTTATATGAACTGCACATTAAAAAGAAAGCTAAACACTTGAAGTAAAGCCAAAAGGATTATCAATCTTTTTCTTTTTTTAAACGATGATTTTTTTGTTGTTGCTTAACGTATATTTGCAAATGCTGCATGCGCCATAAGCACACGAAACGAAAAGGTAGATCAGTTTTTTAAATACAGTAGGGATCAGTTATAAAGCGTTCGAATCAAAAATATTTCAAGGTGTTGTAAAGATATTTTAATTCGTTATATAATTTCGATATGACCTACAATAAAGTCTCCAGAATCGTTTGTAATAATATGGAAATCTAATAACTCGAGAGTTCACATCAAGAAATATCAAATAACCTCTCGTTAAGAAACTTATAAATCTATTTTCAAAGTCTGTAAATTTGTCAGTCCTACAAAAGTGCTACCCTCTATAGAACCTATATTGTTGGTCGATCAGTCTTTGTAATATGATATATGATGTAATAAGCAATTTTTGATTAATGTGTTTAGATTTTTTCTTTTATACAAACAGAAGACAATTAATGAAATTGTAATGGAAGCAGAATGTAATTTAGGTATAAAGTGGAAGCGATTCATACTATAAATGAGCGCACGACCAACTTTTATATAACCCATTAATTAAAAAAAAACTTGAATGATTGGGATGAAATGTTCGATATAAAAAACAGATCTCTTTTTCAAAGATAGGTTAAGATTAAAAAGATTCAATTTAACAATCTTTTATTTCTAAATTGCTTTATATCAGAACTTCTGTGTAATAACGATCAGATTGATTTTAGCTGAAATATTTTACATATTGATTTATCAATTTACAACAGCGTTTTGATCAAGTCAATTTTTTATATATCAGGTGTTGTAAACAAGTAATTGTACAATAAAAATATAATACAGTAAAAAAGATTAATCTTATTATATCTTTCCACAGTGAAAATTATTTTGTATTTAGCAGCACTATACAAGGACCGCCTATATAATGATTATATACCTCCTTGTTGATACGATATTCCATAGCTTGCAATTAAATTGATGATAATTTCCTTGATACAGAGTTACTGGATACGAGAAAGCTACTTAACAATGGTTCTCATGGAAAGTTAATGTTATCTTTTCAAAAACTGTTTGATCGTTACTATTATATGGTCGACTTTATGAGATATCTGTTACATATATTTCAATGGATCGATCCATATTGCTTGACCACATTTTGTCACCTTTGTTTCATTTTTGCGATTTTTACCCGACTTCCCCTTTTTTTATGAAAGAACGCAGCGAATGAATCTAGTGAAATAGGAACTATACTCATAAATGA